AATCTGCTGCACAAGACCTTTTTAAAGTGTTGAAGAACAAAGATGTCAGCTTGAGGACTAAGATGCACCTGGCACAAGCTATGGTATTTTCAATAATCTCATATGCATGTGAAAGCTGGACAGTGAATAAGGAAGATCATAGAAGAATTGATGCTTTTGAGTTATGGTGTTGGAGGAGAATATTGAAAGTGCCATGGGCTGCCAAAAGAACCAACAGATCTGTGTTGGAAGAAGTGCAGCCAAAGTGCGCCTTGGAGGCCAGGATGGCCAAACTTCATCTCTCATACATCAGACATATTGTCAGGAGGGACGAGTCGCTGGAGAAGGATATCATGTTTGGTAAGGTGGAAGGTCAGAGAAAAAGAGGAAGACCCCCAGCAAGATGGGGTCTTGGCAAAGTGGCAACATTAATGGGCTCAAGCATGGCAACAATTGTGAGGTTGGCCCAGGACCGGACAGTGTTCCATTGTATTGTACATAGGTTCGCTATAAGTCGGTACCGACTTGATGGCACCTAACAACAACAACATGGGTCGGAATTGACTCCATGGCACTTAACAAGTAAAATTATGCTTAAGATCATTCAAAACTGGCTGTCACAGTAAATTGACATGAAATTGCAAGTCAGAGTCAGACAAGGATGTGGAAAAGGGGATAGCATTGTTGACGTCAGAGGGATCTTGCCTAAAAGCAAAGGATACCAGAAAGATGCTTATGTGTGGTTTAATGACTAAGTAAAGACTTTCAGCTGTGTGGATCATGATGTTCTATGGATAACACTGCAAAGAATGGGTATTCCAGAGCACTTAATTTTGCTCATGAGGCAGTCAGTCATTCGAACAGAGCAAGGAGACACTGAATGGTTTAAAATCAGGAAAAGTGTGCACTGGGGTTTTATTCTTTCACCATATTTACTTAGTAAAAATCTGTATGTTGAGCAAATAATCTGAGAAACTGGATTATAGGAAGAAGAAAGTGGCATCAGAACTGGAATAAGACTCATTAACAACCTGCAAGATGTAGACGATATAGCCTTGCTTGCTGAAAGCAAAGAGGACCTCTTTAAAGTGTTAAATAGCAAAGATATCAGTTTGAGGACTAAGGTTCACCTGACCCAAGGCATGGTATTATTAATCACCTCTTCTGCATGTGAAAATGGAACGATGAATAAGGAAGAATCAATGCATTTGAATTATGGTGTTGGAGAAGAATATACAAAGTACCGTGGACTACCAGAAGAACAAAGAAATCTGTTTGGGAAGAAGTGCAGCCACAATACTCCTTAGAAGCCAGGATGGCAAGATTTCATCTCTTATACTTTGGACACGTTATTAGAAGGGACCAGTCCCTGAGAAGGATATAATGCTGTTAAAATGGTGGTCCAGCAAGAAAGAGAAAAATGCCCAAAGAGATGGATTTGACACAATGTCAGCCACAATGGGCTCAACGTAAGAACTGTGAGAATGGCACAGGACTAAAGAGTATTTCATCCTGTTGTGCATAGAATCACTTGCTATGAGTCAGAATCAACTTCAGGGCACCTAACAACACAACAAAAGGTTCACAATAACATTGGGGAGGAATGCATTCCTTAGAACAATCAACCATTTAAAAGTAAAAGGGCAGCATTGGCTCAAAAGGCAGAAAGGTTAGGAAAGAAGGAAGAAGGGAAATGGGAAAAATTGGGCAGAAATTGGGGGAGTGATGTTATGTTGTGGGAACTGTAATCAATGACATGAAACAAAATGTGTAGGAATTGTTTAATGAAAAATTGACTTGCTCTGCAAACCTTCACCTAAACTACTATAAAAAGTTAAAGGCAAACAAACAAACAAATCATTGCTGCTGAGATCATTCTGACTCATGGTGACCCCAGGTGTTATAGAGTAGAAGGTTTTCTTGGCTACATTTTTCAGAAGTAGGTAACCAGGTTTTTCTTCCACAGCACTACTGAGTGGATTTGAATCTCCAACTTTTAGTTTAGTCTACAAGTGCAAACCAATTACATCACCCAGAGACCTAAAGGCTTAAATTTAAATATCCTATGTAAAAACAAACAAACAAAACTGTCTGGCAGAGACATCTCATTTTAAGCCTAGTGGGATGTCAAAACTGACAATCCCTTTGTTAGGATTTCTTGCATGCTCCCACCCCCAGAGGGAGGACCATGGACCTAATTTGCATGATTAGCAAGCTGTCCAATTCCTTGGTGATCCATAAGCATCTCATTTTCATAGTCCCGCCCAGTCATTTGGTGGGAATTATAAAGACTGGCAAAACAAGTCATTTTAAGTCATTCACTGCCCATGCACCCAGCTTAGACCCCCTAACCCACTGCCATCGAGTTGATTCCAACTCAAAGAGACTCTATATAGGGTTTCTGAGACTATCTTTACTGAACAGACAGCCTCTTCCTTATCCCATAGAGCAGCTTGAAGATTTGAACTACCGACCTTGTGGCTAGCAGCCCAATTCCTAGCCCACCTTGCTATCAGGGCTCCTTGGACTTCTTAGGCTCCCATGTTTAATTGTGTATTCCCCTTAGATGGATCAAGGCATCTCACACTTAACATATTTGCAATGGAGTCCTTGATATCCCCTACAAATCTGCTCCTTTTTTATCTAAGTCAATTATACAGGGCAGATATCTGAATGTCATCCTTGATTTCTGCCTTTCCTGGGAACGCATAGTGTATTGGATGTGCATCTGCTATGTTGGTTATGGTTTCCACTCTACTGAAGTTATGTAAGTGCTGAGGGCTTTTGGAATAAGAGTCCTTCAGTGTGGCTGGGGTGATCACAAGGGTTTCCTGGAGGAAGTGCAGGCTGCAGGTACTGACTGCTCATTCCAATAATGGATCAGTGTGCATCTATGGATCTGTGTGTTTGTGTTTGTATACTTGACCAAGTGGTTGTTTATGCAGACGTGTGTGAAAAGGCACACCAGAACATTTTCCAAAAGGACCAAAAGACAGAGATGTTCTTTCCCACCAAAAAAATCAAGTCACTAGGAATAGGTCTTGCTGTGTGGGGGAAGTATAGTGATTCTCAGATGGCCAAGTCCATTCTCCCACACAGAAGAGTGGTTTCCTCCTCTGTGCCTGGGTGGGAAGAGGAAGACTTCTACACTAATTTCATATGGCTGATGTAACAAATTATCACACACTTGGTAGCTTTTAAATAAATTTTAAAGGAAGTTCTTCTCCCACAGAACTGGAGATCAGAAGTCCAAAATCTGTATCACTGGACCCAGAATGAGGAGTCCCTGGGTGCAAACAATTAACGATCACAGCTGCTAATGGAAAGTTTTTTGCAGACTTATGTTCACCCAGAGGTACCTCAGAAAAAAGACTATTAAAAAAATCAGTCATGGAAAACTGCTCTGACACACATGGGTTCTCCATGAGTAGGATTCAACTAGATAGTAACTGGTTTGTTGTTGTTAAGCGCCGTCAAGTCAGTTCCGACCCATAGTGACCCTATATAGAGTTTCCGAGGAGCAGCTGGTGAGTTTGAACTGCCAACCATGCTGTTCAAACCAACCTTGATGTTGAGTGCTTATCCTATGACACCACACCAAGATTCCTGGGTCCAAATGAAGGTGTCAGCGGAGCCATGCTCCCTCCTGAACTCCATGGGGGAATCTGTTCCTTGCTTCTTCTAACTTGTGGTGGCTGCTGACATTTCCTTGGCTTGTGGCCACATCACTCGCATCTCTGCCACTGTGCTCACACTGCCTTCTCTTAGGTCTGTATCCAATCTCCCTCTGTCTTTCTCTTGTAAGGACACTTTAGAGTACATTCAGGGCTCACCCAGATTATCCAGGATAATTTCCCCATCTCAAAATTCTTAAACACATCTGCAAAGACCATTTTCCAAATCAGGTCACATTCGCAGTTTTTGGGAAATAGGAACTGTTTGGAGAAAGGGGCATTATTCTGCCTACCATAAAGTCCTCCCTTCACCATCCTCTCCTCTTTACCCATGAAATCTGCCACACACACACACACACCCATGATGCTCTAATTCAACTTCCTTCTCAGTCTTCCTTCTGTATTAGTGAAGCATGGCAGTTCTCTGTGAATCTTCCCTGAATTCCACTCACTCCTTGAGAACAGGGCTGCTAGATTCCCTAACAAGTGAGCAGTCTGGTATGTAGTCAGGAAGGGAGGTTGGAGAGTGGACAGAAGGATCTCCCAGGCATCTTACCTCCAGCCCCACCCCTAGGAGCTCACTCTTGGAGCTCTTGGTCTCCGGGACAGCAGCACTGTAGGTGAACTGAAAACATCCCCTGGGACATTCCAGCCATCACCCAGTCAGGCTTGCAATGACCTTGGCCAGAACCCAACCTTCTCAGGCAGCGTGGTGACAACTTCACACGTCTCTTGGGAGGACGACGCCACCCCTCGCATGTTTGGGTCCCAACCCCACCCCATACACACAAACCACATTCCCCTGATCCTGGGCCTCCATGAAAGCAGCTGCTGGGGGATTCTTCCCCAAGGTCAAGTCAAAGGCACTCCCACCAACCTCGCCAAATCTGCCGTGCCTGCCGCCCTAGGAAGCAAAAGCAGGCGGGTTGACCCTTGCAGAAGTTAGGACGACGCAGAAAGGCACCTTCACATGCCAGCAGCGGCCCTGGAGAACCAGGGACAGACGTGGACCCCAGGATTCCTCGCGGGGCCTCCAAGGGCACCTGCCCAAGGCCACCCAGGGAGAGACTGTCGCGGCGGGAGGAGTGGAGCTGGACGCCCCAGCCGTCGGCGGGGGCGGTGACCGCCTGGGGCCTTCCCACGGCTCGGTCGGCGCGTCACCGCGGGGGCGAGGGGACGCCCCGGCGCCCGGGGCTGCAGTGCAGGAAAGGGCCCTGGGAAGGGGCGGTGGCGGCGCTCCCAGGGCGGAGCCTGAGCAGAACGGGGCGGGGCTGGGGAGGGGCGGGACCAGACTTGGTGACTCCGATTCAGCCCTACAGTCCTGAAAGCCCGCAATCCGCGCTGGTCATGAAGCGGCCCAGAGAGCGGAGTGGCTCGGACAGCGAGTCCGACGGCCCCATCGACGTGGGCGGCGAGGGCGAGTTGAGGTAAGGGCTGGGAGTGGGACGCTGAGTGCGCCCAGTGTGAGCAAGGTGGGGAGTGCCCCCGACGTACTCTCCTACCTAGCTCAGGGACTAGTCCTGGGCTACGACCTCAGGCGACCTCGTGGGAACCAGGTGTACACGCCGGCCCGCAGGTGTCAACGTGTGGGAATGTGTGCTAGTGTGGGTACGTGTGTGTGTGCGTGTGCCGTTACACGCAGTAGTGCCTGGAAGCCTGTGTGCTCCGGGCCATTTAGGACTCAGGATGCATTGATGGAGGTAAGAGGTCACTCGGGAGGCTTATCTGTATTTTGGTGATTGTCTCCGTCTAAGTGCCCAAATGATGCCATTTGTGAGTTTTCCCTGAAAATCTTAGGAAACTTGTAGACTATTATTTATAACATCGCCCATCCCTTTTGCTGGGTCAGGAATCTGCTGACCCTGCAGACTAACCATATTTTCCCAATTTTACGTAACCCAGCTTGGGCGCACTCTTCAGGGTCTGCAAAAACCTTCAAGGGGAAGAAAATGTCTTTTCTCTTGAACAAAATGGATCTTGAAATTGGTACTGAAGAAATGAACGTTCAGCTCAGGGTGAGTGCGAAGACTGAGATTTCAACTCCAGTTTTCTTTACCACACCACCCTGCCACCTTCAAACCACTAGAACAAACCACTTGTATTGTTCTGCTGCTTCCAAGATCTGTGACCTCTCGAAACCTCAGTTTCTTCTACTGTAAAATGGGTGTAAAACATAGACCTGACCTGATAGAAGTATTGGGGAAATCAAATGAGATGATGTATGTCAAGGGTTTCACACAGCAAATGCTGACTTAGTGCCAGACACCCACCATGTGATACTCAAAAGAGCAGCGGGGACTGACTGGGAGTCTGTGCAAGCCTGGATCCTAACACTAAATGTGTCACTACTAACTCTACAGATGACCTAAGGTCATTGCTTTCCCTGTCTGAGCCTATTGCATCATCAGTAAAAAAAAAATTTAAATGGGACAGTAGAAGGGGAGTGATCTGACCTCTCCTGGATCATCCAAACCTGACTCTTTAGGAGAACTGAAGGAAAGTCAGTTCATTCATAGGGATGTTTGCTAGGGTATTTCAGAATTTCAATGCTCCCCAGTTTCCGGAGCCTACAGAATCCTGCCTTAATCGCAAACCTCTTAAAATGCTACCATCTTCCAATTATTTATCACTTATAGCAGAGTATGGGGTAATAGATATCTCCCTGCATCCTGTACATTAAGTTTGGGGGTGCATAATCTAGTTTTCTATGCAACATGTTGTTGTTGTTGTTAAGTGCCTTCGAGTCGGTTCCGACCCATAGCGACCCTGTACAGGGTTTCCGAGGGTGTAAATCTTTACGGGAGTAGAAAGCCTCATCTTTCTCCCGCGGAGCGGCTGGTAGTTTCGAACCGCTGACCTTAAGGTTCGCAGCCCGATTCGTAACCACTACGCTACCAGAGCTCCTTTCTATGCAACATATTAGCCTTTTAAATTGTTTAGCAGAAACTGCTATTTAGAGAAGCAATTCTCCTAGCCCAAGCCTGCCAGTGGCAGGGGAGGGACCCAACACCATGTGGTGGAATGTGGGTGAGGAGGTCTCAAATTCAATGCCATTGAGTCTTTATGGATCAGAGGCATGAAATTGAAGCCAGAGAGTAGGCTGATCAGAGCCGGCTTCTGTCCTCCAAGAGCCTGCAGCCTGGCCAGTGACCTGCCAGGTCACTCAAAAACCACAAACAGGATGGAGAGACAGAATATGGGCTGTGAGGGCACTTAAACTGGGAGAGGATACTCACAACCAAAGACTGTAGGGAGAGCTTCTTGAAGGTGGTGGCATTTGGAATGAGATATCAAGGATCATTGGGCAGTTTTTTCCTCTACAGCATGTTGTCCTTTCATCCAGAGCCCATTTGTAGAGACTGTGTAGATTCTTAGAGGAGCAGACCCCCTCAGAGGAGAGAAAGCAGTTGGACATCTGGCAGAGACTAACTTACAGACGCCTCTTTGTAGCACTCACCAAAGGGCCCTCCCCCCAGCAGACATCAATGCTTCAATTCAGGGAGTGCTGAACGATGCCTGCTGTGGCCCAGACCTAGGCTGGGTGTCGGGGGGCCCAGATGTATCCTGCTCAGTCTCTGCCCCCAGGGGACTCTCAGGGAAGAAGAGCTTCATGTACAAAGAACTCTAAAGTCAGATAAACAGTGGCAAGAGCCTCAGGACTGGGACAGCCAGACTCCCCAGGGTCAAAGGCAGGGCGCAGATCCCTCACGCTCAGAGACATGAGAGTCCAGAGCAGGACTTGTCCCACCAGCACTGTGGGTTGCTGCCTGGTGGGACCCTGCCCCTGACTCACCCAAAGCTCCTCTCTGAACTGGGCTCCTTGGCACATGCTCCATCTACATGGAGAAGATCATCTCTCTCCTCCCCTTCCACAAATGTTGAATGAGCACCTGCCACCTGTCAGGCACTGGATCAGGGTCTGTGGGTCATTCCTAAATGATTTAAGGTACAAGATGGCCTTTGAAGTCAGATAGACCTGAGTTTGATTCTCACTACCATTAACTTGGAGTCCTGGTGTGGTGCTGTAGGATAAGCACTAGACTGCTAACCAAAAGGTCTGCAGTTCAAACCTTCCAGCCACTCTTCAGAAACCCTATACAGGGTTGCTATTAGTCAGAACCGACTCAATGTCACTTACGTACAACCACCACCATAAACTTGGGCAAGAGTCTTTACCCCTTTCTGAACCTCAATTTTCTCACTTTCAAAATGGCCATGTTAAGAACTTTCCTTGAACATGCAATTTTGCAACAGTAATAATAACCAGTAAACTATGTGTGGTTACATAGGTAGACGTGTATACAGATGTGTCTAGGAAGACACATGGGAGTTTATGAGTATACATGTATTGGTATATCTGCAGGCACAGAAAATACATTCTTATAAAACCTAAATAGGGAGCACAGTTACAGATATTACCAAGACATGACCTAATACCACACAGGATTGGTTTACTGGGTTTAGAAGGTTTAAGATCATGGTCTCATGGGACAACTTGGTCCATTGGCATAATTCACAAAGATAATGTTCTACATCCTAGTTTGGTGAGTAGTGTCTGGCATCTTAAAAACTTTCAAAGATACAACTATTGGTCACTTCCCATTTGGAGGAAAGGAGAGTGCAAGAAACAAAAGATTCGGCATAGCAATTCATCTCATGGCCAATGAGAACTGCAGCGTCTTCTAGCCTGAGACCACAAGGACTAGTTGGTGCCCAGCTACCACTACTGACAGTGCTGACCACGGGTACAATAGAAGGTTCGAGTAAAAAGGGAGAAAACAGTAGAATAAAACTCAAATTCCTAGAAAAGGCTAGACTGACTGGGCCAACAGAGACTATATGAACCCCCGAGACTGTTACCTAAAATACCCTTTGAACTTGGAACTGTTCAGGGAGTGAACTTCCAGAATTCATCTTTCATCTAAATAATAGATTCACTTATAAAATGAACAGTATCACCTATGAATACTGTGTGCCCTTACATGATACCAAACTGTCAACGTTTACCTTAAAACAAAGATGAGAAGTTAAGGAAGGCCAGGGAAGCTGGATTACTGGAAACAGAACACAAAGAATGGAAATCACGGGAATGCTGACACATTGTGAAAAACGTAACTTATTCCATGGCATTGGTTACGTTTTTCACAATGAGTCAAATGGGAACCTAATTTGCTATGTAAACTTCCACCTGAAACTCATACAGGTTTTATATATATATATATATATATATATGTTGTTGTTGAGTGCCATCAAGTCAATTCCAACCCATAGCGACCCTGTATAGGGTTTCCAAGGAGCAACTGGTGAGCTTGAACTGCTGATCTTGCAGTTCAAATGCTTTAAAGTCTGGCGCATTAACCCAGTGTCACACCAGAATTCCATATAAATGAGTTTCAGATGGAAGTATATATATATATAATTTTTTTTTTTTTTTAAGTCTACCTTGAAGTCCCTGGGTGGTGAAACAAATAAGCAATCAATTACTAGCCAAAAGGTACCTCAGAAGACAGACCTGGCAATCTGCTTCTGAAAGGTCAGAGCCTCTAAAGCCCCATTGAATGCAGTTCTACTCTGCACACCTGGAATCACTATGAGTTTGGAAACAACTCCAAGACATCTAACAACAGCATGCATGAAAGCACATAGCTCCTTGCTTTGACACAAGATAATTGTCAATGAATAATGCTTTCTAAGGGACCACAATTCATTTGGGAAGAGGGGTGTGCCATGTCCATGTTGCAGCACGGTTCACTGAAAAGATTGAACATCTGAAGACTGGATTTACCGGGCAGGATTCGTAAATAAACTCTTTGTGCATCTGTCACCCCATCTATAAAAGTATCCTTTTTCTTAAGTGTGAAGTGACCCAATAATATTTAACTCAAGGGCTACTTGCACAATAAATGAGACAAATAGATGTGGCCATACTGTCTGGGACATAATGTACTGGTTAGGAGACTAAATGCTGGGACAATGGGTGTACAGGGTGCACTGGGAAGAACACTGGATTAAAAGTCAGTAGACCTGGTTCTACTTGCAGATTTTCCTCTTATTTGCTGTGTGGCCTAAGGCAGATCCCTTCCCCTCTCTGAATCTCCTCATTTTACTAATAGGATCCGTGCTCTCTGAGGTCTCTTCATTGTTTTTCTGTCTTTGGTTGTTGCAAAATGAGTAGGGTCATTTGTAAAGGTTCCACCAGGGAGTTCCCAGAGGGAATCCGCACAGAGGGTGGTCAGACTGGCAGCCAGACTGCTGGACATGCTGCTCCCCGCAAAGACCACCCTGGAATTCTGGCTAGGAGCCACTGAGACCCATGGAGCAGATCTTGGTGGTCAACATATCTTCTCTGGTTCCATGAAAATCTGCCTTATTTTCCAACTCCCTGATAAGAAGCTCCCACACCTCCTCCCACTGTCAGGGCCAAATTTCAGGCTGGAAGGAGGCTCTCACTGGGACTCTTGGGAGCTTTAAGGATCAGGGGACTTGAAGGCTATTCAGACTGACAGGAAGTAGAAATTATGAGTGAAAACAATGCTGAATCTGGAGCCAGAAGACATGGATTCCCATACTGGCTTTGCTCCTTAGCAGCTGCATGGGCTAAGTAAGCAGCTTTAGCTTCCTGAGGTCATTCAGTGTCTTCATGTGAAAATTGGGGCTTTTATAAGGAAAAGGTAAAGTGAAATTAGCCTGGAAAAACCTTACAGAGAACAACTGGCAGGGAGACCAGAGAAAGGGAGCTCAGAGTTGCCTTGCTGAAATGGGTACGTCACCCTCAGCAGATGTCCCTGAGGAGGAATCGGGCTGAGAGGCAGTGACGTGTGAGATGCTAACCCAATCCCCCCAGAGATGCCTTATCCAGGCAGAAGGGACAAAGGCCGTGTTTCTTAGTGTACCTTGGCTCTCAGTGCTTATCCCCAGGGAAGCTTTGTAAGCTGACTGCCCCACAGATCACAGGTTCTGGCTGCCTGAGCGCTGGACCTAGCTTGCTGGATCCTCCCTCTTGAGAGCTTTCACAGGCCCCTTACCAGCCCTGTTTGTCCAGATGTTTGGGTAGGAGATATCCTTTTCCAGATGTGGCTGGATGAAGTCAGAAGCATAACAGTAGGACATAGTGAATGCTGATTTGGTCTCTCCCGCAACTTTTTCTCTCTGAGCAGTGGATAAAAAAGGTCCAACCCCAAATGCCGAGAAGGTAGTCACATGGGCTTAGCACTTCCTGGTGAACTACAATATGATCCCATTCCACAAAGGCCTAGGTAATACAGATTTTACAGTGCTCACCTTTCTTTTCCCCAGGGATGTCCAAGAAGAGACTAGGAAGAGAGCGCTCTACAATGCATTCTGCCGTGCTCCAGGCACTATGCTAAGTCCTAGAGCTACATTAGTGAGTGAAACAGACAATGTTTGTGGCCCTGAGGAGTTTACACACATGTTGAAGAGACAGATGCTAATCATATAGTCACATAAATATAAAATAGCAAGCAGACATAAATATTGTGAATGCAGGATACTAAGAGAGAACAGAGCAGAGGACACCAACTAGTTGGGGAAAGGTGTCAGGAAAGTCTCCCCAGGGAGGTGACGGTTAAGTTGAACGATGGTAAAGATTAATAGACGAAGGGACCAAAACGTGGAATAGGGAGGTGGACCAGAGAATTCTAGGTTATGGGAACAGCATGAAGAGGGGGTGGAGGAGGCTACACACAGTTCGTGGAAAAATTCCAGTATCTTTTGATTCAATTTTCCTTAACCTTTTTCAAGCTCTCCCGTTCCCCCACATGTGCATCCAACAGGTAGGAGTATAGGAAGTTCACAGCCTGTTAGCACACAGAGCAAGGGAGAGTTGGGCCTAAAGGGTGACAGAGAACCAGTGTGTCACTTGAAAGTCAGTGCCTTGGATCCTAAAAGTATTGGGAAGCCACTGAGGGTTTTAAGAGAAGTGCAAGAGCAGGTTGGCATTTAAATGCTCATTCGTCCAGTAGCTTAGAGATAGGCTCATTGCTGTTGTTTTAAAGTGCTGTTGAGTCGGTTTCCAACTCATTAGCAACTCTGGAGTTTCTGAGTAGTAGCTGGTAAGTTTGAACCGTCGACCTGTAGTTCAGCTGACCTTGTAGTGCCACACTAGGACTCCTAGAGATAGCCTAGTAGGGGATAAAGGAGGTGCAGAGGGGCCCCACAAGAAACTCAAACTGGCATCAGGTGAATTACAATAGAGGCTTGGTCCTGAATGGCAGGAAGATGAAGACAGATATGAGATAAACCTCAGACATGGAATCAGCAGGTTTAGATCAGGTGAGGTGAGGATGGAGGAGGAATCAAAGATAACGGCCAAGTTAACACCTTGCAAAGCCAAAATATTAGGGGTGCCTTCACAAAGATGAGGAACCCAGGGGAAAGAGAAACTGGCATAGGACTATGCATTTGCTGTTAAGATGTGTGGAGTTTTGTATTCAGAAACAAGGGAGTCACCTTGTCTGAAGTTGTTTGTTCACATGGTGTCTCCTTACCAGATGGTAAGCATCTGGCAGACTGGGCCTGGGTGACATATTCCCCTGTCTCCTACACCTTGCTGGGCCCAAATGAAGGACTGCCCAAGTGAATAATACCTCAGCACAACTCAGCGCATCCTTTCCTTTCTAAGAGAGCCCAGGAAGCAGAATACCTGTTAGAATGGTGGGCAGTTGAGCTGGAGATGATTTCAGTCAAAATCTGGGCAGGAAAAGACCCAGAAAGAGTGAGTTTCTTTCCTGTAATGGGAACCCCTGGGATGTGGACAGACATTCATCATTCACTCAGGCTACGGAGAGAAGGCCCAGGGTGGGAGAACAGGCCCAAAGTGATGGGGGCTGGGGCCCTCTTGGAAGGTCAAGCAGTATCCCAAGAGGGGCCTGTGACCCAGATGCCGCCTGTTTCCCGCCCCCACCGGGACCGCGCCGCGTGGGAGGTAGCAGCAGCTGCAGGCCGGGCGAGGGCGGGTGGCCGTCGCGCTCCGCCCGTGGGAAGCGGAGGCATCTGCTCTTTCCACGCTCGTTCCCAGCGGCTCCCTCTGAAACTCAACCCGCCTGGCCGGGCCCCGCCGCTGCCGCCGCCGGCCCGTGCTCTCGCCAGCCCCGCCCTGCGGGGATCCGGTTGCAAAGGCCGGGCGGCCGGGCTCTCAGGTCTCCGGCGCGGCCTGCTGTAGCGAGAGGGGAGGCCGGAGTATGTCGGTGTCAGGAGCCACCACCTCACCCCCCACCCCTCCGCCCTTATCCCTGCCTAGCGCCTCGCTAGCGCTGTCCGAGCTGCAGCGGCCTCAGAGGAAGGAAACTGAGTGCAGGGGAGGACCAGACGGGGAGAAATGGGCCCCCGGGGGAGAAGGGCAGAGAAGACGGTCCTCCCACGCCCGCCCTGCGGCTCTTCCTGGCCTGGGAGCCAGAGGCCGTCTGGGAGGGGGATGTGCTCGCCTCCGCGAGGTCAACCCAGGCCACGGTGATGGTCCCCGAGTGCTGAAAAATAAGTCTTTTTCTCCCTTTCCAGCCAGATGGCCAGGCCGCTGTCCACTGCCAGCCCTTCGCAAATGCAAGCCAGAAAGAAACGGAGAGGGGTGAGTGTCCATCACAGCTGAGCTGCCCAGCAAAGGTTTGCCCTGCTCCCTCAGGGCGGGGCCCAGAGGAAACCCATAGCCCAGAAGCTAAGTACAGTGCTAGGGTTCAAATCCTGCCTCTGCCAGTAATTATCAGGGTGACGTTGGGCATGTCACCCAGCTAGCTTCTTTGTGCCTCATTTCCTCATCTGAAATAATGATAGCCCCCACTTCAAAGGGTTGTTTGGAAGATTAAGTGAATTCATGTTAAATTCTCAGAACAATGCCTGACATAATAAGCCACTATTGTTGTTAATTACTATTATACCAACCTTCCTTCTACCCTATCTTCTTGTCTCCGCTCTCAGCCCAGAACTTTTCGTTTGTTCCAGGAGGCTGAGCAGTAGGGGACAGAAGAAGGGGCTCCCCAATTTGCTGCTGGCGCTCTACACTTTCTTTTCAGGATGCAGTTGTAATGCGTAGACGAACACTGCGCAGGGTGTCCAGAGATCTGGAATCTGGCTCCAGCCCTGCCACTACAAACCGCTTAATTCCAACCCTAGTTTTCTTCATCTGTAAAATGGAGGTCATCGTTTCTGTCCTATCAATATCCTGGTGTGGCGCAGCAGACCAGCACTGGACCACAAGGTTGACAGTTCAAACGGACCAGCTGCTCCTCAGAAACCTTGTACTGGGTTGCTATCAGTAGAAACCAACTCGATGGCACTTAACAGCAGTCAGTATCCAGGATTCCTGGTGTGTTGTAGAATAAGCAGTGGAATTTGAACCACAAGATCAGCAGTTCAAACCCACCAGTTGTCCCTTGGAAACATTGTACTGGGTTTGCTATGGGTCGGAATTGACTCAACAACACTTAACAACAACATCACTATCCTGGAGGTCCCTGGGTGGAACAGTTAGCACGTTCAGCTACTAACCTGGTGTGATGCTGTAGGATAGGCATTGGACTGTTAACCTCAGGGTCAGCAGTTCAATCCTGCCAACCACTCCTTGGAAATCCTCTACACGGTTGCTATATATTGAAAACAACTTGACAACTCTTAACAATAACATTAACCAAGTGATTGGCAGTTCAAACTCATTTATTTAGCAGTGCTTTGGAAGAAAAACCAGGCAGTCTGTTTCCATCAGAAATGCCGCCCAAAACAAAACAAAAAAATGCTGTGGAGCAGTTCTACTGTAATACATGGAATTACCATAAGTAAAAATCATCTCCACAGCAATGGGTTTGGTTTTCAATAGGTTTATCAGTATTCTGTCACCAATATTGAGAGGTGAGAATGTGATCGTTTGAATCCAAGGACTTGCAGCCTTAGAGAGCAATAGTTAGGACTGCTCAGACCTCTCCATGACCCAGCAACTAAAGGAGTAATATGGGACCAATAGGGCCTGCCCCAGCTCTGTGATTGTGGTCCCCAGTCTGATTGGTTGATACAGGAATCCCCTGCTTCCCAAAAGTTTGCTTTTATGAAAAACCTCTATTAGGTCCTGTTTCCACTACAGAAAGAAATCCAAAGAGAATTTTCACTTTAAGACAAAGGCAAAAAAGCAAAATAGTATTTGTTTTTCAGAGAGACTCACTACTGGCTTCATCCGTTGTAACAACATACACTCAGCATCTCAGTATCAAGCCACCATAACTTAGAACTGTGTCTGTGAACACTCTCTATGGTGCTACTTTAGGTTTTATTGTTATTGGGTGTGATTTGTTAAGTTATTTTGGGGGTCTGTGAACACTCAAAAATTTTTCCCATAGAAATTAACAGCTTCTTTGCTTTACCCCATTTTGACAAAGGAATGGTTACATAGGAACACTCTACATTCAGATAGTGGGGGGAATCCAGTACCCTGCTGTACCAGTGGTTAAATATTTTGAATATCATTTCCAGATTCCACAGCAAGAGTCTTGAGTTTGTTCCACTTTCAGCTCTGCATTTTCTTGTGTGACCGTTAGCTTATCACTGCCCCTCTCTGAGACTCAGTACCTCCTCCATAAAACAAGAATAGATTTATCTCCCACAAAACAGTGCAAGGGGAAATATGAGTCAGGCACATTGGAAATTGTGATGAAGCAGCCACGTGTAACTTCTTGCCTTTGTTTCTCAGATCATCGAGAAACGGCGCCGGGACCGCATCAACAGCAGTCTCTCTGAATTGCGGCGCTTGGTCCCTACTGCCTTTGAGAAGCAGGTATGCACTGTTACTGATTGTTCAAGAGGAAGTATGAGAGGGCTTCAAAAGTTAGTAGAAAAATTCCATTATCTTATCATTGCATTTTTTCCACAAACTTTTGAAGGCCCTTCCCCATACTATACTGATGACACATTTCTTGTGTCATCTCTGTTGATTGGTGGTGACTATCTGATTGATGTTCCCTGTCACTGGATAAGGGGAATGGAAATTTGTATTCTGAGTTCTACTGTGCCCCCAAGTAACTCTGGTAGCGTAGTGGTTATATGAGTCAGGCTGCAAACCACAAGGTTTCAGCAGTTTGAAACTACCAGCTGCTCCACGGGAGAAAGATGAGGCTTTCTGCTCCCGTAAAGATTTACAGCCTCGGAAACCCTCTACTGGGTCACTATGAGTCAGAACCGACTCCACGGCACATAACAACAACTGTGCCCCAGGTGTTGTAGGCTTATACCCATCATCCCATTCAATTGAATCTCCAAAATGATCAGGAAGAGTAGGGATTGTTATATGTGTTGTGCAGGTGAGGAAACTGAGGCACAGAGAGGACAAACTTGTGCCTGATCATGCAGCTAGAAAATAGTAGAGCAGAACTTGAACACAGGACTTTGTGATTCTAAAGTTCTTTATCCCTCTGCACTGATGACCTTCCCAGAGAGCTATTTGAAAGTGGAGAGTCATGGTGTGGTGCTGTAGGATAAGCACTGGACTGCTAGCTGCAAGGTCAGCAGTTCAAACCCACCACCTGCTCTAGGAAACCTTATACAGCAGGGGAACATTCGGTCCACGAAATCATTTGATCTGGTCCTGCCAAGGCAACCGCAGTTCCAGCCAACACATTGGTGTTGCTAAGTACCATTGAGTCTATTCCAACTCATAGAAACTCTGTACAGGGTTTTTGAGGAGCAACTGGAGAGCTTGACCCACCAACCTTGCAGTTCAAACTGACCTTGCAGTCTAGCTCATTTACCAATAGCACCACACCAGGATTGCAGCCATCACATTAGGGTGAGTTAATTAAATGTTTGACCAAAGATAACAGGCTAATTTTTAAGTTGATAGTTTTGTATAGCCCGCAAATGATGTTTTAAATATACAAAAGGCCCTTGACAGAAAAAAGATTCCCCACCTCTGCTATAAAGGGTCACTGTGAGTTGGAACCTACTCAGTAGCTCACAACAGCAACAACATTCAAAAGTGGAGCGGGTTGCTCAGGGAGTGAGCGCTCTATTGTTGAACAGGTTGGGGTGGGGGACAACATAGTGGGGAGGTGAGTTGAACCAGAAAGCCTCAAAGATTCTTGCCTTGTGCTCCAAGGTATGCATCGCAGGTCATCTACCTTCCCTATGCTCGTGAGAACAAACTGGATATTCCACAGATATTCAGTGAAACCTTCACAGGACCAGTCATGAATTAGACCTGGTGCCAGCCCCCAAAGAATTCACATAGAGTCTGACCCTCAGGTTTCAACACCTGGGGAGCCAGAGAATACTGGAGACTCAGGAAATATTTCCTGAGAGACAGACACAGAAGGGCAAGCATTTTAGGGTTAAGATGATGTGCTAGATCTTGGGCGTAGTGAGTAGAGATGGTCTTGGAGATGAGAAGGTATGTCAGAGTAACCCTCTGGTGAATGACCACATAGTGATGGTGGATGAAGCAGACACAATACTCTAGGGAGAGTGTGCAGACTGAGAAGTGAGCCAGTACCCACTGTGAACAAAAGAGCAAGAAGCAAGGCAAAAGGAAAATGAGGAAACAATGGTGTTGTGGAGGCCCAGGGAGAAGGGTTAAGGAGGAGGAAGTGGTCAGCAGTGTCCAGAGCAGTGGACAGGTTTCACTAAAATAAGAATTGAAGAGACCTTGATCAAAGCAGACGCCCAATTGCAGGTTATGGAGGAGTGGAAGAAAGGTGCAAAATTGAGACTGTGGATGCGGATGACACTGTGCAGAGGAGGAGATCATGGGGGCCTTCACTCTTCTGTCTTTTGAACACACAGGGCTCCTCCAAGCTGGAGAAAGCTGAGGTCTTGCAGATGACGGTGGATCACTTGAAAATGCTCCATGCCAGTGGTGGGACAGGTACCAATGCTCTTCACTCCCAAAAGATATTAATGACACAAGTATTTGGAGGCTGGGGCTTGGGTATGCACTACTGAACAAAGTGAGGTCCCTACCCTCAAGGATCCCCACAGACTGTAAAAGTAAACCCAACTAGAACATCTACAAAGCTTCTCTTTCATCTTCTTCTAGCATCCCAGTCTCACTTTCCATGTCTCCTCTTGTCCCAACCCTCTTCTTTCCTCTATGTTTTCTTGTCTTATACCTTGTAAGAACTTTCTTTTACAACAGACTGTTAATGCTGGTTCCATCCATGAGCTAATTTCCTCTGGGATCTTAGTCTGGGACCTGCCTGAACCTAGTGAGGGGCCCACCTGGAATTTTAGTCACAGAAGTTCCACTGGTCTAGCCTTCTGGACTATGTGCTGTTAGGGGTACTGGGGTCATGTGTCAAGGATTCTAATAGAAAGCAAATGTAATTCACTTCATTACTTTGAGCTAGTTCATTAAAATAAAGTCATGAAACTGTGGCTTGTTAAAAGCTTCTAGACAAATGATAGGTTTGTCTACATAAAGCCTCTCCATGTGTTTCAGTGATTTCACAATTGGGAAACCGTGATAGCTCCCTAGTTGAAGTTGCAGAGATTTAAGTTGCCACCCCTGAAGGGGACAGTTGTGTTTTAAGTAAGTGGTCTAGTCTGGTGTTCATGAAGCCCATTGTACAGTCACATCACCTGGGAGTTTCTGAGGCAGTAGGTCTGAATTTAGGAACTTGCAAGCGTAAGTTTGCAATGGGTCACTTTGAGAAATGCCACCAAAGGAATGCATTGCTAGCAGTGAAGACTTCCATCTCTAATCGTGCAGTGGGAACAGTTTTTAAAACTGCATTCATGGTTATCCAATTAAAAGAAAAATAATGACTAACATTTGGGCAGCATTTTACAGTTTTCAAAGTACGTTCACATATGCCCCCTTCACTTGATTCTCACAAGAACCTTGAAGGCTGGGGTTGTTATTATTTTATGACTGGGGGCTAATGGGAAAACAAACCATTAGGATTTGAATCCAGGCTCAGTTCCTTCTAAGTTTATCACCTTGGACAAATGACTTAATCCCTCTGTTCCTCAGTTTCTTCATCTTTAAAATGGGAAGAGTAATAATAGGGTTTATGAGGATCAAGGGACTCCTGGTATGATGCTGGAGGATCAGCACTGGACTGCAAACCACAAGCTCACCAGTTCAAACCCACCAGCTGCTCCTCAGAAATCCTTAGAGAGACTCTATGAGTTGGAACCGATTCAATGGCACTTACCAACAATAAGAACCAAGAGGTGCCCTGGTGGTGCAGTGGTTAAGAGCTCATTTGCTAACCCAAAAGTTGGGGGTTTGAACCCAGCAGCTGCTCCACAAGAGAAAGATGTGGCAATCAGCATCTGTAAAGATTGCAGCCTTGGAAACCTCCTGGGTCAGTTCTACTGTCTTTTATAAGGTCAATATGAGTCAACTTGACATCAGTAAAAGATGGATGAGGATTAAAATACTGTTGTTATTGTTGCTGTTAGGTGCCATCCAATCGGTTCCAGCCCAGAACGAAACTGCCGGGTCCTGCACTATCGTCACAATTATATTTGAGCCTGTTGTTGCTGTCATTGTGTAGATCCATCTCATTTGGGGGTCTTCTTCTTTTTCACTAATCCACCACTTTTTCAAGCATGATGTCTTTTTTCTGGGACTGGTCCTCTTACCAACATGTCCAAAGTGTGAGACATGAAGTCTTGCCATCCTTGCTTCTCAGGAGTATTCTGAATTTTGTCCAAGAAAGATTTGTTTGTTCTTCTGGCAGTCTGCGATGGTTTCAATATTCTTACCAACAGCATAATCCAAATGCATCAGTTCTTCTGTGGTCTTCCTTATTCATTATTCAACTCTTACATGCATTTGAGGCGATTGAAAATACCATGACTTGAGTCAGGATGCTGTAGTCCTCAAAGTGACATCTTTGCTTTTTGACATGTTAAAGAGGTTTTTTGAAGTAGATTTGCCAATACAATGTATCATTTGGTTTCTTGACTGCTGCTTCCATAAAGCATTGATGATGGATCCAAGTAAAATGAAATCTTTGACAGCTTCAACCTTTTTTCCATTTATCATTGTGTTATTTATTGGTCCAGTTGTGAGAATTTTTGTTTTCTTTACATTGAGGTGCAATGCATACTGAAGGCTATAGTCTTGGAATTTCATCAGTAAGTATTTCAAGTCCTCTTCATGTCCAGCAAGCAAGGTTGTGTTATCTGTTGTTAATTTTTGTTGCAGATTGTTAATGAGTCTTTCTCCAATCCTGATGCCATGTTCTTCTTCATATAATCATTTCTCTGATAATTTGCTCAGCATACAGATTGAATAAGTATAGTGAAAGTATACAGCCCTGGTGCATATCTTTCCTGATTATAAACCATTCCATATCCTCTTGTTCTGTTTGAACCACTGTTTGTACAGGTTCCTCGTGAGCACAATGAAGTGTTCTGGAATACCTATTCTTCACAATGTTAGCCATACCTTTTTTAACCCACACAGTGAATGCATTTGCATGGTCAATAAAGCACAAGTAAGCATCTTTCTGGTATTCTCTCCTCTTAGCCAAGATCTGATGTCAGAAATGATATCACTTTTTCCATGTCCTCTTCTAAATCCTGCTTGAATTTCTGGTAGGTCCCTATTGATGTACTGCTGCAACCATTTAATCTTCAATAAAATTTTACTTGTGTGTGTGTTTTAATGATACTGTGCAATGTGAATTTTGTTACGTCACCTCTCTTTGGAATAGACACACATATGGATCTCTTCCAATCAGTTAACCAAGATTCCTGTCTTTTCCAAATTTCTTGTCATAGACAAGTGAAGGCCTTAGTGAGGGCCATAGACAAATGAGGGCCTATATCAGTTTGTTGAAACATTTCTGTTTGTATTCTGTCAATTCCTGGAGCCTTATTTTTCACCAGTGCATTCAGTGCAATTTGGACTTCTTCCTTCGGTATTATCTGTTCTTGATCATATAATAGCTCTTGAAATGATTGAACATCAACCAATCCTTTTTGGTACAGTGACTGTGTATTCCTTCCATCTTCTTTTGACGCTTCCTGCATCATTTAATATTTTGCCTATTGTTATTAGGTGCTATCAAGTCGGTTCTGATTCATTGTGCCCTTATGCACAACAGAACAAAATACCTGGTCCTGTGCCATCCTCACAATTGTCATTACGCTTGGACCCACTTCTGTTGCCACTGTGCCAATCCATCTCATTGGCGGTCTCTTCACTCTCAGTTCTAGCCCACCATGGCTAGGTCAGTGTCCAAGGACTCAAGAGTTCCCAAGTCTCCCCAAACTTCGGACCAGCCAGCCCTTCCTCTTCTTTCTCTCATCTCAAGTTCAACAGGAATCTATGGAACATGGTCAGACTCAGTCTGTGTCTTCATTGCTGCCTTTCCCCCACTTCCACTCACACGTAGACCAACGCGGTCACCAGTGAGTTTACATGCCTGCTATGTGATCCCTTTGAGTTTCAGTCGTGGAAGGAGATTTGTCCTGAAGGGACTTGATTGCTTGCCTTGATGGCTCGCGGATAAACAGCTTGCTTATTCTAGTAATAATAGCCAAACGGTCTGCCATTTTCATTTTTGTTTTTGTTTTTTTCTGCTAGTCTTTCTTTCAAGAAGTATCTTCTGTTCCTCTAGCCTCTCCAGGCTGGTCTGCATATCCTTTTAAGTGGGAATGTCCCACCAAGAAGGTTCTGGATGGAGCTCAGGGTTCCACACAAGGTCCTACGCACTGCAAAGGCTCTGCAAGAAGTCTATTTCACTAGGCAAGTTCTAGAACCCCTTTTAGGTATTCCAATCAGTTATAGGCTGAAGATGGGCTTACAAGCTCTCTGTAATCATGTTTCCTGATATTCCTTTCTATCTCCCTCAAGTATCTATTTTACAATAGTAGGCAAGGGAAACCAATATCCATTAAGACAGTCACGTATCTTAACATTATTTCCACTCTTTTCCATTTCGACTATGCCTCGATCCCTATACCACAGAGCCCTGTTGTTCCAAGGTTGAGCATACATCACTATTTACCTATGTCCCATTTAGCCCATGCAAACCTACCTAAGTGTTCCCCTATATTCCTTGTTCTTCCACCCCCTCTTGCAGCTGTTTTTTTAATTATCTCTAGCAAAATGTTACTTGCATGTGATATTAATGATATGGATGATTTCTGCATTCCATTGGGTCACCTCTCTTTGGAATGGACACAGATGTGGATCTCTTCCAATCAGTTGACCAGGGCAGCTGTCTTCCAAATTTCCTTCAGTATTACAAGTTGAGGCTTGATTTTTTTTTTTTAATATGTTTTTTCTCCCAGTTCTTTCAGCTTAAGAAATGCTAGGTGTGTTCCTTCCTTTGAGTTATCTGATTCCAGGCCTTTGCACATCTCATTATAATACTTTACTTTGTCTTGTCAAGCTTGAGGATTAAATTAGATACTGCATATAAAGTGCTTAGTAAGAACTCAATCAATGTTAATTTAAAAAGAAACATAAGCACAGAAAGGGAAAGGAGTTTGATCGTAGTCACATAGCTAAGTATACAACCTTGACCATGAACCAGGGTTTTTTGCTGGTATTGTCATGAGTCTGTCTTTGCCCAGGGAGCGGTTGAGAGAGGGCTATGAGGATGCAAATCCCATGCAGAGTCATCATCTCTCAATGAAATCAGAGTAGAGAGAGGGCCCCAGCCTGATGACAGTGACCGGGAATCAGACTACAGCCCTACTTTCCAAAGTAGACAGGGCCAGGGAACAAGACATAGTACTTACCAGGCCAGCAATATAAGTAGTAGTTAATTTTAATGCAAGGAGCTCTGGTAGCGTAGTGGTTACGAATCGGCCTGCGAACCTTAAGGTCAGCAGTTCGAAACTACCAGCCGCTCCGCGGGAGAAAGATGAGGCTTTCTACTCCCGTAAGGATTTAAACCCTCGGAAACCCTGTACAGGGTCGGTATGGGTCGGAACCGACTCGACGGCACTTAACAACAGCAACAACAATTTTAATGCATTGAGTATTTTCTCTACCCCATTTCATTTTTTTTTTCACCTTCACAACTCTGTAGTCAGGTTCATTACAGCCCCTTTATACAGCTAAGGCAATTGAGGCATGTTCACAGGCAGATAACTATTTAAGTAGCAGAGTCAGAATTGGAGCCCAGCTCTGCTGCCTCCAGAGACCTCATGCTTCTCCGCTGCAGTGTGCCACCTACTTCAGGAACCTCCCAGCTGTTGTGACTGCTGCCACCAACCCTAACCCTACCAGCAGGCAGTGTTTACACCCATGTTGTGCACAGGCCTTTCACACTAGCCCCAGTGTCTATTTCAATGAAGTTATCTTGGCCTCAGAATTTCTTCTTTGGGTGAATCATGAGAAGTGATGAAAGAATATATTTTACAATGTTTCATAATTTCATGAATTCATTTGGCTCTCAACATACACCGTCCTCCGCCCGAGGTATGGATTATTAGTCCCACTTTTACAGATGGGGAAACCAGGGCTCAGAAAGGTGGAGTGACATTCCCAAGGTCACACAGAGTGAGTGGGGGAAACTGGTCCAGAACTCAGGAGCATCTTCCTCCACACCCTTTGGCATGCCCTTATAGTGCCCCTCTTTTTCAGGATTCTTTGATGCCCGTGCCCTGGCTGTCGACTTCCGAAGCATTGGTTTTCGGGAGTGCCTCACCGAGGTCATCAGGTACCTGGGGGTCCTGGAAGGGCCAAGCAGCTGTGCAGACCCCGTACGGATTCGCCTTCTCTCCCACCTCAACAGCTACGCAGCTGAAATGGAGCCTTTGCCCACACCCAACAGCCCCCTAGCCTTCTCTGCCTGGCCCTGGTCCTTCTTCCACAGCTGTCCAGGGCTACCAGCCCCAAGCGGTCAGCTCGCCATCCTGGGCAGAGTGCCCGGCTCTGTACTTCCCAGTGCCTCCTCTCCCACTTACCCCATCCCAGCCCTTCGAACCACTCCCATGCGCCGAGCTGCTGGTACCATCCTGCCATCCCGAAGGAGTTTCCTGCCCAGCCGAGGGGCCTCTTTGACCCGGAGGGCCCGCCCCCTCGAGAGGCCGGCTGGCCCTGGGCCCTTGTCCCCCAACAGCAGGGCTTCCCGGAGCAGCCACATCGCATCCCTCCTACGGTCTTCCTCCCTGACCCTCCCTGGTGCCATGGGGCCCACTGCCCACGTGGGTGTCCCTGCCCCTAGTCCCTCTTCCCCAGGGCCAGCTGGGAGGCCTGCAGGAGCTATGTTCTGTCGTTCCTGGGTCTCTGAAATCACTGAAATTGGGGCTTTCTGAGCTGGCTCCCCCTGCCCCAGGAGTGAGGAAGGCCCTTTGTCCAGGAACCCTAAAATGGCTCTTCCTTTTTTGCTTTAAGTCAGTCCTGCCTCATATGTGAAGGGACCTTCTTCACTCTTCAGTGGCCCCTTCTCCTTTGGCCAATCTCTCTTCACAGCTTGTCTCAGCTTGTCTACCCAGCCATCCCCAGAGACTTGATCCCATTTCTCCTCTGGATAAATCAGACCCGAGAGAGCCTCTAAGAGCTGTTCTCAGACCCCTTTCCTGACCCAACATATACTGAGCAACAGGTTCCAGTCTCAGCTCTGGGATCAAAGTTTTCACTCAAAGAGCACAATGGCCTGAAGCAGGCTGCTTCTGTGGAGAGGTCAGACCCCAGCAAAGGGCAATGACAAACAAGCTCTGTTTTTTCCCAGACTCAGGGGTCAAAACAGAGTGTCTGCTTCGTTTCCGGGTCATGGGAATTGTCTGCCCCTGCCCACCTGTCTTCAGCTGACCCCACCGCAGTGAACCACAGGCCAGACTTGGGGGCTGGGAGCTCAGCAGGGCCTGTTCCGCCCATTCCCAGCCACAGACACCCACTCTCCAAGTGACTACCAGTTCACTAGGCACAGCTGGCCTGATGAGCCGGGCCGGAGTTTCTGGGCAGCAGCAAGGCTCCTTGGCCGGGTGTCCATCAGGCCGTGGCTATCACTCCCAGACAGGGCCCTGGTTGAGCACCTAAAGGCCAGCTCCATCCTTGAAGTGTGTGGTCTTCCTGCTGGGTGTGCTAGGTGGTCTGGTGGAGACGTGATGATGCCCAGAGAGGAATCCTCTTGGGATACAGCACCAGACGTCTGTGTGCCTCCTTTGCATCCGGCTCATAGAACCCAGACTGCTGGAACAGCCAAGAGTTGTCCGGCTGGATAAAAATAACTGTAAGGAGGAGCAAGAGGAAGGACAGTCAGAGGTGGCTCGGCCCTCCAAGGTCACACACTGGAATGAGGGCCTGAGATCTTATTCAACCAGAAGTCCATGCAGCCACTGGCTCTGCCCAGAGACTGTTTATTCAGCTCCAACCCAGACCACTTTTCCTCTTAATAGAGAGGGAAATGGCCTAGTAACCATTCCTGTGGAGCAGCAGAGACTGGGTAAGACAGGGGTTGGCCTAGGCCTGACAGTCAGCTAGACCCGTGTTGCTGTACCATTTGTTGAAATTCTGACACTTCTGTGCTGTTTGGTAAGTGTCTGTTTTCCTGAGGGCTTCTCAGTGACCCTCAAGAGCCCCATGATTTGGTTAAGGTCTAGCAAACCTGAGAGTCTTCCAGCTGACACCCTGCACTGGTTACACTGGATTGTGAACCACAAGGTCGACAGTTCAAACCCACCAGCTCCTCAGAAACCCCTATGCAAGATCGCTATAAGTCAGAACTAACTCGCCAGCACTTAGCAATAACAACACATCACCCTTGGAAGATTCCCCACTCCACCCTTTTATGGAACGCCCCCCGCTCTCTAGAGACTGAATTCAGAGGACTCCATGGAGTTTGTGACAACCCAGAGGGCCTGTGTGGTGGAGTGGGGTGGAATGGCCCTTTCAGAAAATTGTGTTAGAGAGCAGAGATGATTTGTGTGACCCAGAAAGCTCTTTTGAAAAGGCAATTTTTCAGTAAGGGATAAAGAGCTGAAGCCCTTTTCTCTAGCTCCTTTGTATGAGTTAGTTCAAGCAGATTGCTTTCTTCTTGGACTCATATGAGATAGTGGCCATTTCAGAGAGTGGGTGTCCTTGTAAGGACTTGGGAGAAGGGGACAGAGGGATCTCACAAATGGTCACTCTCAGGACATAAAGTAGAAACAGTCCCTCCCTCCAACCCGGCTACCTCATGTGGTGGGCACCACTCCTAGGATGCCAGCTTCATACTGTAATCCTGCAGTTTACTACCTTCCTAACCTGAGAACCCAGCATTCCCTCATACTGGGGCTCTGGGAACTACATTTCCATGTTTCAAGTACCCAGCTCCCAAAGAATTTGTTGACACCACTGAAAGAGGTGGAAATGGCCCAGAACTTCGTTGATCTTGGACTCGTTTTCCCTGAGAGATTAGAGGGATGGAAGGAGGCGACTGTATATTTGTTTTTGTGGTTGATGACTTGCATCTTTTGTTTATATTCCCAAGCCTTCCTGGTGCCTGCCACCCCCACCCCATTGCTGGGATTGTTGCAGACACTCAATAAAGGTTTTTTAGTTCTTCTGGAAACTTCCAACTTCCTAAGTATCTCTGGACTCTATCTACTTCTCTCTGAATCTGCAGCCATCACCTTAGTCTGAGATCATCTCTTCTCCCCTAGATCACTGCCTTCCCCTCTTAAAGATCTCCTTGTTCCCTCTTGCCTTGCCAAGTCAGTTCTCAACAGCAACCAAGGCAACCTTTAAAGATGCAAACCATATCACATCAACTCGGATTTAAAACCCTTCAGGAGTCCCCTATTTACTAACAATAAAATCCAAGCTCTTCCTCCTCTGGTTCCAGTCTCACTTCCTGCCTCTTATTTTACTAGGAGTTGTGGTGTGGCGCTGTGGGCTAATGTGTTAGACTGCAAAGTCCTTTGAACTGCAAGGTCGACGGTTCGAGCTCACCGGTTGCTCCTTGGGAACCCTCTACAGGGTCGCTATGGGTTGGAATCCACTCGGTGGCACTTAACAACAACCACAACAACTTTGTTTCCTCTACTTCCCCCACCCTGACCTCCCTTCATTTCCTCAGCATTCCAACCTCTTTCCCCACTCCACAACTTTGCATATGCTGTTGCCTTTGACCAGAATGCTCCTCCTTTTCCCTTTGAGTTCTTAGCCTGTCACCTCCTCAAAGCAGCCTTCACTGACCATAGTACTTAGACCCTCCATGTTAATCTCAGAGTCCCCTATTTTCCTTCATGGGGAATTTGTCATTACATATCCATCCACATGTTAACCTGTTGGTTGACTGTCTCTCCCACTAGAGTGTACGCTCCATGAGGGCAGGAACCATGCCTGGTTTGCTCTCCACCCTGTATATCCAGTGCCTGATCCATAGTAGGTATTCAGTAAATATTTGTTGAATAAATGACTCTTCTGGACTCATGCTGCTAAGTGGGATAGGGGATGAACACCCAGCTGGAAGACGTTTGGAGGGAGCAAAGTAAGAGCCAGAGCCAAGGGACTGGGAGTTCTGGCAAATGGTGCAGAGGCTCTGGCCAAAGGAAAATGCTCGTGTGCTCGCTCTGGAGTGCACACTGACAGATGAGAACATGCATCAGTCCCTGCTAGCAGGTATTGTTCTCTTCCCTTGGATTGGCTGTTCCTAATGCATTCCACTTGTAACAAATTCAACAAACACTCACAGAGCTCTGCTGCTTGCCAGACAAGGAATAGCAGAGCCTGAGGTGATGAGGACACTGTGGAACTGAGGGGAAGGTACCATCTGTCTAAGTGACAGTCTGAGTTGAGACTGGAACAAACGGTCTGTGGAGCAAGCTGAGGCGATAGTCACTGCATCAGCCTGTGGTAATCACGGTGGGGGGGGGGGCGCGCGGGAGGTGCTGGGAAGAAGGCTTCCTCAAGAAAGCTGAAGTACATGCGCAAAGCGCTGGAGAACTCATCAAGGGAAACTCTAGAAATTGTGTCTGACTTGAACCCAGGAGTGAGAACCAAGCTAGCCCAGACTTTCTGGGTTCAGCCCCAGTTCTGTCTCTAACTAGGTTGTGGGTTCGGGCAAGTCGCTGAACATCCCTGGACCTCACATTCTCACCTATAAAACAGGGATTATGGGAGTAATGGTTAAGTGTTAATTCACTGGTGACTATGTGCCAGATTCTGTGCTACATACTTTTCTTGGAATGCCCCCATTTTGCAGATAAGGAAACTGACACCTGTCCCCTAAGATTAGGGGAGAATTGAATAGTACACATACAGTCCTCAGTAAAGTGCCTGGCTCATATGAAATGCCCAGTCAATCTTAGCTGTTAATGTTGATGATAGAGTCTGGATCCAAATTGAGCAAGGCTCCGAGTGCCAAGCAAAGACTTAGGACTTCAGCTGGCAGACAACAGAAGCCATGAAGTTTCCCCTGGCTGAATGCCAAGGCCGTAGTCAACTTTAAGGAACTTACGCTTATGGTGATGTGAAAGACTGACTGGGAAGGAGTAGTATTTGGATTCAACCCAACTATTCATTAGGATCACCTAGATGCTTTTTAAAACTATCCATGACCAGGCCCCAGAGATTATGGTTTAATTGGTTTGGGCTGGGGCCCATGTGTCCCATAAGAAGGTGTGAAGAAAAGAACTCAGGATTTCTTTCCTAGTCAAAGTAAATTTCCATTTAGCAGGTGAACTGTTTGTGAGACTGTAAAACATTAAAACTTTCTGAGAAATGAAGCAGAAATTAATTTCAACAAAGACCTCTTTGAGATGCTGGTTCCTCTCTTTGTCCCTAGCCCTTAGTATGTGGTTCTGAATTATAAGGGGCTACAAAAAGTTCATAGAAAAATGGAATTGAAAGGTCATGGAATTTTTCACCAAATTTTTTGAAGCCTTCCTTGTATTATTATGCTGAATACTCTAGGAACTTGCATGTCATTCAGGTGATACTGATGTTCAGAGCTCAAACTATTGGCTTCCTTCTCTCCTGCCTGAGGAAAGACAGGAGGAAGAATCAGATCTTGAGATCAGCTGATCCTGTTAATAGTAGTAAATATTTTCAAGTCATTAACCTACATTAGGATTCCTGGTGTGGCGCTGTAGGATAAGCACTGGACTGTGAACCACAAAGTCAGCAGTTAAAATCCACCAGCCACTCCTCAGAAACTATACAGCAGGGGTGAGGAGCCTTTTTCTGCCAATGGCCATTTGTATATTTATAATACCATGTGCGGACCATACAAAATTATCAACTTTGAAATTAGCCTACTATATTTGGTCAAACATTTAATTAATGCACCCCCAATGTGATGAACCTTAAGGACAGCAGTTTGAAACTACCAGCTGCTCCGTGGGAGAAAG